TCTTAACTCAAGCATGTTTTTGCATACAATTGTTATCACTGCTATTCCCCTAATATGACCCAATTTTTATTAGCAATAAAACAGACTTCATGTAAACCATGGTTCAAATATCCTTAGCAGCTTTTCAAACAGAATTCTTCTGAGAGTACAAGTTTGCCATTAGATCTGACCACTTGAGAGCATGAAAAAAAGAAGTATTTGCTCAGACTTCCTAGGGCTGTTTTGGCACAGAAGAGAGATAAAAGCAGGAATCTTACAAAATGAGCTATTAAATCAAAGCAAATAGGGATTCCCCTCACTGATAAACCTACAGAAAAGAGACAGTTWTAAACCACAGTCAGCACTGTTTGTTCTGGACAACATGGTTATGCCTCATCCCAACAGACTATTTACTGCTTAATGAAAATAACACATTAATAAATATCTTAATGAAACAACAAAGAAAGCATTCCTTCAGCGTAAAGCCAGCGGTGACTACAGCACCATGGACACTGCACACAGGTTTTCTCAGCCCACTTTGGTTATTTGAACTTTTTTTTTTTCTTTTTTAAGTGTCCAAAAGCATTCATTTGTGTAATTTGGAGAGATCCATTTATTATCATTTCTTCTTACATCAAAAGCAATTGGAAAAAAAAAAAAAAGACTAAATTTATTTACCTAATTATTTCACCTATTGCACAACTATAAGCAAAAAGAGTAACAAGAACAAAAAGAGGATTTTGCTTTTGAAAATGTCTCTGTATCCAAGACGTTGGCAGAGAAATCAGGAAGGCAGAGTTGATGTTAGGACTCAGAATTTTGTGAGCATGGAAATACACTTAAAAGCAGCTGTCCTTTAGTGTGATTTCTTTTTAACGTTCTGCATTATGTTCAGTCTATAGTTAGGAGATGGTTCCCTCCCTCCAGAACTACTTTTTATTAAGAAGCAGAAAGAAAAAWACTTTAAATAAATAACACCACTTATATATGGATGTATTGGATTAAATTCTTCATTATTTTCTCCTCTTCCTTTCTCAGCTCAGTTGCAGCTATTTTTTCTCCCTCCTCCTCCTGCTCCCCCTGTTGCACACTTAGAAGCCCGATTCATTTCTTTTTATTACTTCAACTAATGCTAAAATGTAAAGTTTAAGAATATCGCGAAATTAAGCAATTCTATGAACGCAGACAGGGAAAGAACCTCTTGGTAACAAAGGCCTGAGTGTTGTGAGTAGCATCGATTTGCTGCTGCTCTAAAATGCAAACAGAACAAAAGATCCAGCGAAGTGAAACAGGGAAGAGGAGACAATACSGGAAGATGCCGATTAGAGAGAAGGAAAACAGGGAAAAGTCCAAAGGGGACGTCTGCTACTGTGACTCATTTTACATTTCAGTTTTACAGCAGAGCAGACCACAGCGATCCTTCAAGAGCGCGCTCGGGAGGCAAGGCTTCTCGTGCACAACGCGCTGTTYGCTGCATTCCTCGCAGGGCTGTTGCAGCTCACGGGGTAGGTGAGCCCTGACAGATAATCCCAGCCAGGCTCTGCCCAGCTCTGCAGCTCCGGCCTGGGAGCCCTGTCCTATGGGGCAGTGCCATCCCCTGCTCCCAGCCCCGCTTTGCAGCGCCGTTTAACCCCTTTCTTGTTGGGTTTCAAATGGCTCCGGTATTTTTGTTTACTCAAATTAGCAGCAAGGAATGATTAGCTGGTACAGTCATCCTTCCGCATGGCACGATGCCATAGAAATGGTCTGCATTAATTAGGCTGTTCTTTTCCCAACCAAGTTTAAGCTACAGCCAAGGCGATGGCCTGTAAATAAACCTGCGTTTCCACTATGGACAARGACAATCCCAATAAACTCTGTGGGAATATGCACTTACATTAAGAAAAAAAAAAATAGAAAAAGAGAGATAAGAGTTTTGTGTAAGCAAGCAAGGTGCTAAACAGGAATTTAAGGGTAACTTTGGCCAACAAGCCCAAAGTCTGTTATCGTGTGGGTTGAAAGATCGTGTTTTCTTTCCATCACCCAAAGCAAAGCAAGGGGATCAAATTTGTCTTTTTTTTTTTCTTTTTTAAAATTGGGGATGATGCCAAGTGCTTGTCTGTCACTTATACAGTAAGTACCCCACACTCCTGCCAGAAGATTTATATTACCTGTCAGAAGGAAATATTTTTCACACTGTCAACCAAAACACCCTTTCCAGGTTTTTTCCAGGAGCGTGTCTCCTATTAACTTTGTAGAAGTTACTCACGTATTTATTGCTTTCCAAAAAATCATTGTTTATCCTGGAGTCACCTTGCTGTGGTTTCTGGATAAGTGAATTCACATGTTGCAATAAATATAGAATGGACAGGAAGTAGTCTTACTAATTCCAAATGAAGCATCCTTACATCAAGAGTTCTACATTACACTTCTGTTTCTGAAACTGTCTTCGTGCTCCTGCCTCTCTGATAGACTATAGATTGCTTTGAAGACCTAAAAGAGCTGCCTGCACTTAATTTTTTTTTTTTTTAATTATTTTTGATAAAACAAAGTACTTGGAATTACTTGCTTAATGATGCCTTATTTCCTTATCAACAAATCTAGAATGATCATAGTATGAATGATCATACTTATGATGGAGTTTAAGGAAATAAAATTTCCTTAAAATTTCCCCCCCAGACTGGGGACATCAGAACAAAATCATCCTGGATTCTCTCGGGCAAAGCACCAATTTCAAGCCTGACAATTAAAAACACAGACAAGGATCTGAAATGACTAAGCCCTTCTGTTCCATATTAAGTGGCGACAAGTTTGCACACAGAAATACACCCACGGCTCAGGCCTAGATTCTACTGCCTTTAGCCTAGCRTTAATGGTGTACTGAAATGTGTAATTAGTTATTTGTTCCTTAAGTCTTTGCAAGGAAGATGGGGAAAGGAGCTTGTGCCCAAATATCTCATGGAAATGGAGTGTTTTTCGGTGTTCACCAGCACAGGTACCTCAGAGGCGCTCGCGCGCTCTGAGGCCGCCTCTCGCGCTAGCGCAGCCCAAGAGTAAAAACAAACATTAAAATCTTTCCCATTTCCGYGTATTTGGCAAGATCTGTTAGCTGACCATTCCAGCACACCAACCGAGGTTACAAAATACAGGGTTTTYATTAACACTTTGCCAAGACCTTCTGTCTGCAAGGGTGCCTGGCCTTGTGTCAGGCCTTTCAGGAACTGCACACAACGTGAATGTGCTTCTAACAAACAGGCCTCAGCTCCACCACTTCCTGGCACCCACCCTTCAAAGGGACAGAGTTTAAATAATATTTTATCCTGCTTTGCATTTGATCCAGCTATGAATCTTCAAAAACAGAACACACACAACTGGCACCTTCTTGATCTCTAGAAGATACTCAATCAAGTCAAGTAAGGGAATATGCTTTATATCATCCCATCGCTCATGATCTAGAGCTATCTAGCAATTACAGCAAATGTTATGACCAAAAATTAAGGAAGTAATAAAGAAATATGTGTATTACTAGAAGACTGGGGTTGTGATCCAGTAAGAAACCCTTTTTAGCTGAGACACATTCCTTTTATCCTAAGGTCTCCCACAGGCATTCATAGAAAAAAAAAAAAAAAAAAAAAGCACCTTCAAATGTAACGTAACACAGGGAATCAGCTTAAAAGTAGTGGAGCACCTTTGTGTTTGAAATGCGTCAACAAAAATGACAACATGAAGTAATCAAGTCATTCCAAAATACAAAAGGATAATGAAAAGCCCTAGCACCGAAGATTAGTGTTCTTAAATGCTTAATGCTTAGCATGTTGTGGTAAATTAAAGGTTTTTTTAAAAGCTATGGAAYGGAAACGTCCTAGATCTGCTTCTGTTGCTCAGTTATCCCTGTCGAAGGCGGGAGGAAATTTATGACTTCCTCCTCCTGCTTGGACCACTATGAAATCTTCCTGTACAGGAGTCTCCCAAATTCTCTGCCTTCAAATATATGGATATTTACATGGTTCAGCTGAAAATGGAAGGTCTTTTCTGGGGGCACATGGGAAGCCCCCTGTAAACTACAGCTTTAAAAAAGAACTCTAAAATTTAGAGAGGCTCCACCACAGCATGTATGTTTTCCTCTGCCCTCTTGGAAGATGGACAGAAAATTAGCAGCAGGTAGTTCTGCTTGTTTTGTACCTCTGAAATATAAGTATGCCAAGAATTTTCGTCTGTGGTTTCACTCAGATTTCTAGGAATAGCAGGGGAAGAAACTCTCTCATTCCTCTACTAGAGGGGTGAATGAACTCAGTCTTTCAGAGAATGTGACACATTCAAATATAGCAAATAATATGTCAGGAAAACTTCTAAGGCATTTAAATAAAAAAATCTTTTTTTGCAATTCTCAAGCCCTTTTTCCYAGTGAAATCATAGTGCAATTAAATCTTCATTGTTCAAAGTCTCCTTGAGAATAATCTGAAAGTCTGCACATAATAATTTAGCCTAGAAGTTATGTGGAAAAAAATCCTTTTAGGAAGGAAACAAACCCAACAAAAATGCAAGACTATTTCAGACCATTTTTATATGCCACAAAGCAGTAACAAAGATCAAAACAGTTCCTTTTTTCCAGTGCAGATCATCAACTGGCTGTTCAGGAAGGTGCCACCAAAACTGAAAGGTCAGTATTTCATGTAAGAAAGAATTTCAAAATATGCACTTTACAGCCATTCCACTGGAAAATGATGGAGGAGAAATATAATTCTCAACAAGCAGATACTCCCACACGTTGTCTCCACGTGAAAATCTCGAGGCCATCAACCACCAGGCTGCCCACAGCCATTAGCTGATAACTAAGGCCCGTGTCGTAGCCAAGTGAACTTTTCTTCAGGTCAACATTAACATTTACTGGCACTCAGGACAGCACACACCAACTTTACGGTTAAAACTTTGGACACGAATATCTGAGACGGTCCTATCAGCTCCATCCTTCAGCTCCTCCCACCTGCACTGGCTTCTCTTGTCCAAGTCAACTAATGCCCTGTTCAGGAGCCTTGACTTACTGTGAGATGTGAGTTATTGGGGTCAAGAGCGTCTCACCCTCCAGGTCAAGCTCATCTGCAAAGCTGTTGGTCCTGATGAAGGGTGCTGTGCTCACGTCTAAAAACGCCGGATTTTTTTTCACTGTGAGGAAACATGCGGAGAAGGGTTAAAGCAGGAGCACCCAGCCTTTTTTTCAAGATAGGTTTACTGCTTGTTTGCATGTCTTAAAAAACTGAAATATCCCATTAAAATGTACAACAGAAGAGTTACTGAAAAAAAAAARGGGGGGGGGGGGGGGGAAGGAAGCAGGCAGGTATTCTACCTGAAGAATTTCAGCTTCTGCTGAAGATTTAAAGCTGTTATATTTCTTTTTAAAACCCTTTTAAAACTTCYTTGAAAACGAAATAGTCCAATTTGTTCATACTAGAATTTACCATATCTATATCAGAAACAGCTTTATACATTAAAAAATCAGCCAGACCATGGACCACTGTGTGGTCAACTCTAGCATTAAGAACACCAAGTGATTTTAGCAATGCGATCCTAACTTTTGTCAGAGAAGCCACAGGATTTCCTTATACATAAAATCACTACTATATTTATACATGACTATAAATGAATTGCACAGAGAAGAAAACCAACAACAAGCGATACTTCATAAGAATTTTAAGTCTTTTGAGAGAACACGTCTGAAATCACAGAAATTGGGGGAGGAAAGAACAAAAAAACACAACTACCAGGAGGAAAAAAGTAAAATTGAGAATTATCCTAAAAGCAGGAGTCCCTTGCAGCATTTAAGAAGAATTCTATAAAGCAAAATGACTTTAAAGTGGACTCCTTTTGGATTTAACTAAACTCATTTCATTGTTCTACGAGCACAAATGGAWCTTTCCCAGTTTCTAGAACAAGAAGAGTCAAAGTCCCTTAAATTTTTCTGATCAAAGTGACAACAGTACTGAACTTAAAACCATACAAAGTGTTTGCTGAATTCCCACTAAATTGTGCCTGTAGGACATATAATACACAGGTGAATTTGTAGAAAAYGCTCGGTTTGGATCATTACAGCTACAGTTTTCCTGTTGAATATAGAGGGAGATGGGAAGAAGAATGATGAAATGAAAAAGCAACATGAAGGGCAGCTTGCATCCCATCCTATTTGAACTAGTGTGGTTATCTGAGAATACTGGGATAAAGAGATGCTTAACCTGAGGCAGATATTGCATCTCCTTATTATTTTATTTTATTTAAATTTTAAAACTTTCTGAGAAACCACAATTGAGATCTGGTAACCAATGCAGCTCTCAGTTCTTCACACCCATTAAAATCTGAGTTTTAATTAATGCATTTAGAAAAATGCCCATTTTCTATAGACTTGTTTACTTAAACATTTGAAACTTATGAGCAGAAAAGTCTACCAAACTCCAAATGCTACTTATGTTATATTCTACCTATGTTTTCATTAAGCACTATACTTTCCTGTGCCATAGGAGGCAACTGCAAACAGAGCAATGCAATGATGTAGGAATTAAGAGTGTTAATGAAGCAATGAGATATTATGAGCTTTACCTGGTGAGGGAGGAGCGCTGGAGGACTGCTGGTCTGTGGAAAAGGATGGCCAGGAGCGCTGACAATCTGAGCCAAAGCAAAGATGCACATAAAACAGAGAGATGGAGGAGTGCCTTGGGAAAAAGAGCTGTAGAGAAACAGCTAAGGAGATGCAGACATATCTAAAATTCAGAGTGCTGTTTTTGACATCACTTTAAAAAAATGAAATAAATATTTGGGATAAGGAGTTCTATGGATCCCTTCCTGTAGGTATGAAATTTAAGCAGAATGTTTGAATGGCCACCAGGGGAAGCATCGTGACTCTCCAAACTCCTCCGCTGTAGAGTGTGTGCCTTGTCTGCTGCAAGATATTCCTRCCAGTTCTTTAAATCATGCTCCCTTTTTAGCACTTATTTCATTAAGAAACAACTGTGGTTTCTTAYCCAGGGACACAGTCATATTTTCTCACCTATGTTTATGCAAAGAGCAAAACTCAAAATACAAACATATTTGAATTATACTCGGGGGAAGGGAATGACTTTGGAGAAGTATTCCTTCCATTGGAGGGAAGTATTACCTCTCCCTTCCATTGGAGGATATCCATATCCATCTCCATTCCATATTCCATATCCATCTCCATTCCATATTGGAGAATATCCGTATCTCCATTCCACTGGAGAAGTATTCCAAGTACATTTCCTAACGCCTTATTCCTGAGCTTTTGACTTGGCAATTAGGGGTTTTTTTTGTGTATGTAATGTTACTCACAGCAGACACAAATCCACACCCTGCCTGCTCTATTTCTTTGAGTCCCTAGGAGGGCAGCATGACGTGAACTCTCCGCTCTTTTAGTTCACCCTGCTCACCTAGGAAATAGAAACATAGAAACCGAATCAAAACTCTTCTGAATTTTTCCCAAGATGAAATAATTTCTTGCTGATGTATATGTAACAGGTGGTGATTTCAGGACTCCCACTGCYATCCTGAATTTGTTCCACCATGTTTTCCTCCATTAGAGACGAAATGCTTTGGGTATGGAAAACTGGAAACCAGTGAATGAGCAGGCCAAGAACTGGACTGAGAGAGTTAAGGAGATTAAGTGTTCCGTTATTTTGCCACCTTATTTGCACCTATGCTGTATGTGGGTTCAATGGGGAAATTCAACCTTGTATTTTCCCACAATTTAATCCAAGTCTGAGCATCCTTGCACTTTAATACTGAAGAGTAACTTCCTTTGTCTTCAGTGGATGCAAAACAGACAACTTGCAGTTGGCTCACAGCACTCTCACTAAATCACAGTTCATTTTCCCCAGACCCAGCTCTACTCCTGGACTCTTCAGGGGAAAGCTCAGTTTTTARGAAAGTGACTGAACAAGTACATTAGAAATATCACAGCACTATGTAACTAAGTGGTCACAGAATCCAGATAAATAATAAAATATATTATATAATCTATGGGTCTCCATTTATTCACTGATATTTACAGAGCATTCTTACAAGAACAGACGTGTAGTTAAAATGCCCATTTCTAGAGGTCATAGCTGGATGTTTTTCTCCTATCTCAAGATATTTAAAAATCAATTCTTAGTTATTTAAATATGTAGTTCAACTTTTATTATCCTTTTATCCGGGGTATGTAGAGAATTACAAGTTTTCCTCAGTCAACAGTGACCACCTATTCTACTTACAATCAAATACTTTAAGTAATTGCTCATTTCTGCCTTTGAGACTGAACCATGGGTGCACTTGTGATAACAAGCGTGAGAATGTACATTTTTTGTATGTCAAGATCTCCTTGGCTGCAAGAGATTTCCTAGAAACTATACGTCACTAAACACACATAGAAAAGCACTGCAAACAATGTTAATGTTCTCATAAGCTGGCATGCTGTAGATGAAGTTATTTTCCTCAACTTACCAAGCAATTTTAACATTCCTGTTTGTCCTGTATACTTGTAACAGTTTAGAGAGAGCAGAAGAGACGAAAAGAAGAAAAAAAAAAAGTGTCAGAAGAGATTAGAGGTTTTTTTTTTTATTGAAAGCTAGAGAATTGATTTTTGAAGTGGCAGTAGGCGACTGACTGCAAATCATATTGTCCTTTAATCTACTTAGAAACTTAGTGATATAAACCTGAGACTTGCCGAGCCTCATCATTCACATATCTCAGTCACCAGATTGAAGACAGACATTTGTACTCAAAATCACACAGAGAATAAATGTAATATCCACCTTCTAAAAACCACCATGGACTTGGTAGTTGTGACTGAGTTATGATCATTGCTCAATGCAGGCCAGGAAAGATGGGAAAAGCATGGATGTTACAGAACAAGACAGAAATGCATCAAAAAAGTATATGGAAGGTGAGAGTTTCCGTCTGAATTAAAATATATATCTGGTGTCAACCAACACTGCAATCTCTCATTTTAATGGCTGTTAAATTTAATCAAGTTAGCCAAGTTTTTCAAGAGGAAAAGAAAAGTAAGTCCTTATGGTATGTAGGATCTATAAAACATACTTTTAAAAATTAAACATAAATCTTGCAGCCAAAATTTGAGCATACAATTAACAACTTGTAAATTCTACTTTTTTGTTAAAAAGCTACACTTTAAATTCAGAGCTCATATTATAATTAAGCCATTATTTATAAGGTGACTGTTAAACAGAGTCCTTTCATCTTTTCCCTGTACTATATCATTCTGTACAATGACAATTAGTACAGATGATCCACATTTATCTTAGGTTATTCTGCTTTCAAAATTTGATTCATAGACACCTCCACTGAGCAGATGGCAGGAGCACATAATGGTTTCATATAGCAGCCTATCTCCAGAGCAGCCAAGTATCTGTTCTTTTGAGTTGAGGCACAAGCAGAATATGAATGTGCCTTGGAAAGCCTGGCAGTCTGTTCCAATAGCATCAATCACTTAAAGAAATGAGGAAATTATGCACCAAACTTAGAGACAGTAGATCTTTCGGCCGGCAGAAATTACAAATAATCTTAAATTTGCTTGCAAAGGAGCACATCAATTAAGTAAATGGTTGAATCTCATCCAGAGAGCCTGCAACGAAAGCTTGAAAGCAAGTGTTCTTGCTTTAGAAATAGAGCCAAGAGGTAGTTCATCTTTGTCTTGCACATATTAAAGATGACATGCACATATATAATTAATAGAGGCCATTATAATTACTGGCATGTTATAATAGAATTTCTTACCAGAGTTTTCATATGCCTCAATACTGAAATCGGATTTCCTGTTATCTGTCACATGGTCGTAAGTGATTTGTGGAACAGTTAACACCTTATCTGGAGAAGAAGGCCCGTTGTCCTTCTCTAACTTAAATTTCTTCTTTTTGACCTAAAAATACACRTATATTAAAATACTTGAAGCGAACCTCATTTCATTGACTCTTTAACAAATGTTTTTAATGAAGTCTCCAATGAGCTATTACCAGATAAAAAGAGTGTCTGCCCAATTGCAGTTACATTATGCTCTACCCTGTGTTTCTCACTAATTCCTCCCTCAAAGTAGCTAACTTTTAGAATTCTGCACATTGTCGTTAGCAAACTACTTGAAAACTGGGGAAAAAAATATCTGTTAGTTCTACAACCGCTTACATAAACCAAACTACTCTAGAACAGCCTTGCCATTTCATGGTCGCAATAAACTTTATCCTCAGCACATGTAAATGAATATAGTAATATCACATTCAGAAGAATCTGTGATGTAAGGGGAAATTCCTGTCAGGTATCTTTCCTTGATTTTTCCTTTCTCCTTTCCTTTTTCCTTTGTCAATTGAAAAAAAAAAAATTCTTTTCTTTGCTTATAACTTTCCAGACAAGAAGAGTAAGTTACTGATAGATATGCCTGARTTAGGTCATTATTTTTCTCTTCAAACTCCATATATCCATTAAAAACAAAATCAAGCTTGAGATCTGAAGCAAATTAARTCACAGTTTAAAATGTTTCTATATTCAAAATCCTCAAACTCATTGGAAATGAAACTATGCAACTGAGCTCTGTAAYAAACGTCTGCAAAATAAATGCACCCGATTTCCTCTATGGAGTGAACAAATTCAGTATTACTTTAAAGATGAATATATGAAATTWTAATAACATGAAACATTTGTTACCATCACTGATTTCTTCGGTTTTGGACTGGGTGACAGTAAATGATAATTCCTAGAAGGTTTTCGAATATATATTTTCCACGTGGAAGAGTCTGGATTTTCTGCTGCATAGCATCTCCAAGCAGTCTAGAATAAAAGTTGTTAGCAACAGAGCAGTTAATACAATTGAGTTTGTTGCTGACTACACTTTAGGTAATCTTCAAGTCAGCACATTAGCAAATCTTGATTGAACAGTATTTATTTCCCTTGCATTAACTTYGCATGCTATAAAATCCCCAGCCTCAAACTGCCTAGTTTAATGTGGGCTGATACACACCCAGGAAGACCAGTCTCTTGAAGTGCATCTTTTGTCTGGATTACCAGATCTTAGGATATAAAAAAGTACTATCCAAGAGGCCTTCTAGACTTGACTTAAAAGACTGAGGTTGAGTTTCTTGCTCTGCTTTTGGTTCCCTTTAGACTTTGGGCATTTTGCCTACTCGTCTTAGGGTCCCTACACAAAAGAGAGGTAGTTCTGTAGCTCACAAGAGCACTGCCAGAAAAAAGCAACCATGTTGTAGTCAGCAGCAGTAGCTGTACAGATTTGTTATACAAGAGAAACAAGAGGGAGAGCCTCATGGAACAGCTAACCAGGAGCCAAACCCCCCAGGCAAATAAAAAACCCAACCATCATGGATCAAAGTGCTATGTTCAAAGACAAAAAGGAAGAAAAATGGCCAGGAAACAAGACCAAAACTACTGTACACATATATACACATATACTACAGATAAATACTAGTGCATACTGCCCCAGAAGTCTAACTATATCATTAGAATTAATTAATAATTAACCCCCAAATTAAAGTGGCAGATAGTCAGCAACTTAATAACAGATAGCCAATAAGCCAGCAACTTATTGTCTGTCCCCCATTCATTCTTAGTATTTCAGACAGAGCCAAGTACAACAACCTAAACAAGCAATCTCAGGCTTCCCAATAATTTGGGATTGATTTCCCCAAAGATCCAGTGGGAATTGCTGAAAATCCATTCTTTGGAAAAACCATACCTTTTTCTGACTGTGCAATCCAAAAGAAACACACTGAATCTGAAGATTTTTGGCTAATCTTTGGCTATAACCAGTCCCCTAAATTTAAACCTTTTTCACATTAACTCTGGGACTGTTTAGTTTCAAGCATAAACTTTACAGTTAGCTACTGTTTCCATAAAGAGTCTGACCTGGAAATCCACATTCACTCATGAAGCTAGAGAAATAAGTCACATGAGAGTGAAAGAATGACACAGCCTAGGTGAAATATCTAGATTTCCATTTTAATTTGATCCTGTGTTTCTAGGATCTGTGTTTCAAGCTACAAGCAGATATTTAGTAAGGGAAGAAAAAAATGGAAAAAAAATGCAGTGAAACAATATTAATACTTCTCTAGAGTGAAAGGTTAGCTCCAGTCAAGTCAAGGATAACAATCTCATTGACCTCACTGACACCCATCCTGCAACCATCTTTTTAACAGAGATGATCAAAAATTTTTTGACTCCCTTATGATTTACAAGAAGAGACTTTAGCAGAATCTCAGTGTTTGCCAGCCACCCACCCCAGAGCTCAAAGCTCAGGAAGTTCAAACAAGATTTTACCTTTTATTACCTTCTGACTTAATCTGAAACSAAAATACCTATTTGTCCCAAGAAAAGTGCAGCACATCTGATTCTTGTCTTTACTAGGAACAGTGGATTTTTAAATATACAATTTTATATGCACCCTCTTTTCTGTTTCCTATAACTGTAAGCCTAGTATTTCATAACATACCCTCTCGCAAAATTGCTTAATAGCCAAAAGTTCAGCTATGTTTTTAAACCAGCTGAATAGTCTGCACTGATTTGAGAGTGAACTTTTGTACTTGTTAATTTACATTAAAGGTGGGAGTTCTCAAACTATTTAGGAGACTTTTATCTGTAYGTGTAACTCCGATAGAATTTTTGAAGGGAATTAGATATGGAAATACTATAAACAACTTCAAAAACTGTTCTAAGTGGAGAGAAATGATAGTTGGTAAAATGTGCAAGCATGGCACCTGTATGAGAGAGGCAGCAGCTGGAATTTGGCGGTTGAAGTGCTTCTGTCGTTGTTTCTGCTGTACTTTTAGGGCAAAGCCTGAACCAAGAATTCCCTGTAGGAAGAAAGAAAACAGAAATTTAGCTTTTAGGGGGGAAGAGGGAGAACGTGCATAAACTTGCCAAAGTATGTCATATTAATAAACTCCTATTCAGCATCATAAAACAACTGAACTAATTATTCAGAGGAAATGACTTAATGCTATTAAGCCTTCAGACTCAGTCTTACTTGCTGAAACATAAAATATGAACATTATTGTGGCCTGATTCAAAGCTTATTTAAGTCAGCTGGGCTCATACACTAAAGAACAAGAAAATGTATTTCATAACCTCTAAAAGCCCCATAAAGGCCTGTGAAAGGGAAGGACAGTATAGGGAAGAATATATTCACATGTTGTGCTGTGCTTAACCTCATTTTCATGAGAAAAAAAGATGTGGCATGGCATAATTYGGATCACAAGAAAGTCTTTTAACCTGCACTGTGGCAATTTCTATCGTATTAACCCATAGTGGGTAGGAAGAGGAGAAAGAAAAAAAAAAGGAATACTGGAATACAGCCAGGCTATAARTTCAGCACAGGGCTCCCTAATCCACCTGAGGACAAGGTGGCATGGACTAATGGTGCCGAGTAATGAGCAACCTGAAGCAGCCTCCAAATGTAGTAAAATTATTAATTCCAAAATAAGTGTGGAGCAGTTCCCTTATTTATCATTAGGATGCCCCTTTATTATCATTCATACAGTCCCCTTATTATCATTCATATCTCCACACACTTAACAAAGGTTTTAGGAGTATTGCTAATTACCTATGTTTGCCACTGAAAGTTTTGGATCTCAAAAGCACAGCCCAGGTTTGACTGATTTTCAACTTACTGTTGGTATCCAAGAGCCTYATTTATTGTTAGAAAGTTTCTGGGCACCTGTTTTCAGTACTAGCTGAGAGCCAAAACACCTTAAAWAGCTCAGCCCTAAATCACTATTGAAAATGAGATGTTGGCCACAAACAGACATTAATTTGGCAAATAGCTCTGTCAGCTGCCAGTGTCACTGTCCCTGGCCACTTAGGGCTGCCTCTCTACAGCTTTCCTGGGAGAAGGATGCACAGGAGAACTCTACAGTTCACCCTTTATCTAACCAGTTGGGTAACTTAGCAGCAAAGTCAGTGATCTGAAAAGCAATTAGCACAGAGATACTTTCCTTTACATATTTGAAAAAGTTGAAAAAGTGTTTTGAATTAAACACTCATTTTGGGGTTGAAACATCCCTTTTTCCAATATACACCAAATATTGCATCTCATATGCAAAGAGGCAGTGTTTACTGTGTTTTTATCTATGTTTCACAAAATAGAAGTTGAATACAAAGCTTCTTTAATATYAGATCCAATGAAAGGCTAAAGAAGCAGTAACAAACGATTCCTCTCACTATTATAAGCTCACTATTAAATTGCCAGCAGAAGTACAGAGGAACCTACCGCAGGTAGTGCAAAAAATGAAATTGCAAACACTGAAAAACAAGATGCAATAGTCTTTCCTATCCAGGTCTGTGGCACTTTATCCCCATAGCCAATAGTTGTAACAGTCACCTGTAATGAGAAATACATAAAGCATTACAAATATGAACATAGCAGGCTTCAGGACTTATTTGTTTTTGTTTGCATTTAAAGGAACATAAGCTGCATTCCTATCCCAATGTCTCAATGACAGCCTGTGTGACCTTAACGAAGGTAATTCACCTCTCCGGGTTTGCTTCCTACCTATAAGACAATGAAAAGGGTAAAGGAAATTGAATTACAATAAAATATGTGTTAAAACGTAGCAAATAAAACTGTTCATTTAATTCTTCATGTCTTAAAAAAAGTTATGRTCTATGAAGTTACAGGGCTACGGGCTGCCTGCCCATACCACACGCTTCCTTAGCTGGAGGCTGCCAACACAGCTCTGAACTGCTGATTTTCTTTATGGGCAGGAGATGTTTGCTGAGCGGGTTAGAGGGCTGTTGTATATCAGGAGCACACACGCGCTGCACTACCAGGATCAGACATGAAGTGTGTGAGAAAACAGTGCTGATATAAACAGCGAGAGAACCTGAAAAAAAAAAAATGCCATGCAGCAACAGCTCCTTAAAACACAGCCTAACAAATCACTAATTCACACAGAACATAAAGAGCAGGAACAGATAATTTAATGCACACACACAGGAAACACCTGTTGAGTTTGTGTTTCAAGACTCTGCAGTAAAGCTTACCACCACGGTGACATAGCACAACAAGGCAGGACAAGTCATTACTTGCAGATACACAAGAGAACGGATTTTTTTTTTAATAGAAGGCATAAATTTGGCATCTGAAGACACTTAAAATTCACCTATGCTACACACTGCTCCCAAGTTTGGAAGGTAGAGAAGTTTGCTCAGCTTTATTCAAAGTCACAGAAGTGAGCATGTGAGCCACGTGAGGCTCTCGAGCACATGAAGCACACGGCGTTGTTCTTCTGATCAAGAAGCTGCCTATTTGCCCAGGCCATGGAGGAAGCAAATCCCAGACAATAACAAATAAAGACCTTCCTTCTGTATCCTGCAGTTATTCCTAGATCACCTGTCATATTGTAAACATACAAAAACTCCCAAACACAAACAAAACCCTACTAAAAATAACTACGGCAGAAGTGATGCCCTCTGATACTTACTTACATAAAAGGAGACAAGATAAGGGTTTTAGAAGATATTTTCAACTCCTCATGATTAAAATATTGTGTTGCAGGCTTAATGCCATGTTTTGATGTCTTAAATAGGAATGTGAAAAGAAATAGGACCCTATGAGCAGACCAAACTACGCCTGAACTCCCTCCCTTCCCATCCTTTCTGACCTGCTCATTGAGAAGCATCAATGCCAGAATGCATTTTCTGTGCAGTTTGTTGGGGATTATATTTAAAAGAACATTATGGAAATTGGGTTAGAAACAAATCCATGTGTTTAAGTTGACATTTTTCTCTACACTCAYAAGTAATACATCTCCAAATGCATTGTATTTCCAAATTACATTTTCTTCTTTTTTTCTCCAGGATACATGTTGTTGAAAACTTGTGCTCTGAGTTTTAGSCCCAAATGATTTTTTACAGCCAGATTATAACCCCCTAAAGAGTATAGTACTAATTTTACAGTTGTAAAATAGGACGTAGAATGGAAATACTGACTCAATTTCTACTCTAGCGTAGTAAATACATTGCCATAATGAAACTAAATTGATGCAAGAGCTCACACATTATATTTTCATTGCAAAGCAGCATGAAAAGCTAATTGGTTTAATTAGTAACAAAATCCTATGCATCCATTTGCTATTTCAGAACTTTAATCTGATCTACTTCACCACGGGGTTTGGTGTTAAGACTAATCTTGTTCCTGTTAATTAGACATCAGTAATCTAAATGAGGAAATATGAATCCAGGCTGCAACAAGAAATAGTCRTTTTAAACAGCACTGAATAGCTGACTCATTTTATCCAAGGTTATCTGGCTAAAATGAGGACAACAAACTTGAACAKGTACATAGCATCTCTGCCCTGTAGATAAATACTTGGTGGCTTTGGAAGTTCTGAGTGGTTGAACATCTACAAAATGCAGCTCTGAAGAATGCACAAGTCGGTCACTAAAAAGACAGACACCACAGAGTGCATGAAGCAAAACTCAACTGCTAAAAGATCAAATAGAGGCAAGTATTAAAGYTAAATTACCTTATCCAGAATACCATACCTACTTTCCTTCTGATTTTGCAGCACTACAACTTCAAAAGCAGTGTGCCAGGTTTTGTTCTGCACTCAGAATTTCATTCAGAATTTTCTTTCTCTGCTTGCAATACCCATCTGGATTAAATGGAGTGACACAGGCAAAACACCCAGGAAATCAAAGCCAAATCTTTTAGATTCTAAAGGATGACTAAAAGTACTTTTCCTTAATTGCGATTTTTTTTTCCTAGACTCTAGAAAATAGCAAGTTTCTAGAAATTATTTGCTTTATGAAATGGAAAACCTGGCAAAACCTTCTGTAGTCTTCTAGTTTGAAGGATTAAGGACAAATTAAGAAAAAAGTTTCAAGAATGTTCTTTAGAGGAAAGAAAATCTGTATTTCTACTTTGGAACAAGGATTTTAAAAGGTTTCTTCACATCTACCATTTATTAAGTGAGGAAGAAAAAGTTCTTGGAACTGCTCCTGGAGTTAAAATTCATAGATAMGAAGGTAGCTAGTGAGATGTATGGATGCAAGCAAACAGTATTCTGAAACACTAACCCTCCCATCTTCTAAGCCTCTCCTCCACAAAGTCTGAAAAATTCCATTTTACCCCCCAGAATAAAGAAAGGACAGGCTCATAGTGGGTATTCTGGGCTTGCAAAGCACAAAACCAACAATGAAGAGTCTTCCTGTGTCTAACAYGGAAATCAGCATGAAGTCCTCAGAAGTTTGTTAAATTTAGATATGGAAAAAAAGGTTCTTCCTTCTCTGTGGCTTTTTTTAACATTTATGGTCAGTTATTTATAATTACAACAAATTTGATTTAAGCAAAAAGATTTATGCACACGATGCAATATCTATTTTGTATTTCATGCAGCTTTCCAGCAAAGCTCTCAAACACTTTTGATTTTCAGTATACCTTAGGCAGGTGCTTACAGGTTTTGATAAGCAGAAAGGTTAGAAACACAGTTAAAAAAAAAAACACAGTTAAAAAAAAAAATATTGGTCCTTGGTGAGAAATTATGTATCTGTGAATTAAAGGAACGGGAAACTTAACTAAGTTGGTACTTGCATGGAATTGCTAGATGGAGTTCAAAGGAATGGGGGGACCTTTATTAACACCCTTGCATGGCTATAGTCAATAACTGGTTGTGGCAAATGGTGCTCCTGATCAAAGAGGCTGGAGGCAGCACAATCCACGTAATAGTTTTCCTGAAGGATGTTTGTTCAGATGTGAAGGTTGAAAATAGTGCAAGGGATATCACAGAAGGAGGCTGCCCAAGACACGACTCCATTCAGTGTTCAGGAAGAAAGCAAGCAGAGAAGTGAGCCAGTTTCCTGAGAGAGATCTTCTTTGACAGGCTTAGCAAGGATATTTAACATATTTGTTGTTGTTGTTGTTTTCTATTGTTGTTTTGGTTGTCCGGAAACTATATTAAGTCTTTAAGACTACAAGTCTGTGCATGAAAGACAACATAAAAATGTRACTTTGCCCTGGGGAACAGAGGGGTACATCTTGTTTCCTGTATTTTTTCTGCAGAGTCACCTTGGCTTTGGAAAAATAAACATGTGCCTTCATCAGAATTATTGCTACACGTGCTGCCTTCAAGGATAGCAGTAGTCTCAACAAACCCTCCATGCACAGGGTAACCTCAGGTTTCCCCAAAAAGGCTGCACACTGGCACTGCKAATAACTACACACAATTCAGAAGAAGCACTAGAGGCCAATTTACTTATGGAAACGGAAAAGCAATATAGCTTTATAAATAACAATGACAATGAAGAACATCTAGTTGGAAGTTATGCACCCTATGGGTATGTCTATACTTGGCAAAGCAAAGTCATATGAAAGTACCTAATTCCAGATGCAGTTGAGTTGTGGTGACGCACATCTTCTATACTGTTTCCTGTGTACTGTGCTACWTAAACAAGTTCTTTGGGGAATGGCAGTAGAGAAAACCAAAGACATGAGTTGAAATAACAGAAATATGTAATATTGTAGGGTGAAAGGGGCCTCTGAGGATGTTACCAAGTGCTTTGCCTTTAGCATTTTCTGCTGCATTTGCTAAGCAAGTTCCAAGGTCAGCGATGTGCCAGGCAGATCATCCATCTGTGGTGGCCTTTGAAACGAGGACTGTGAGCTGCCCTCTTCCACACAGCCAGAGCAAAGCAGGTGGAGACRGGGTTTTAATGAGCAGAATTTGGGGTACTTAAGCAATGCTGAAAATTCTGGCTAAAACATAACACTGGGTACTGATCTTTTTGAGAATGTTTTCCCAATAAGTTTGAGCCCCTTATTAAGAAGCATTCTCCTTAATGACTGGCAAGACATCATCCCGACTTTAAAGGACCTTTTCCTGAAGGACAGTATGAGGAACATTACAGCATCAAAATAYCAGAAATGCATTTTTAATAAGTCAGTCTGGCCTGTAAGATGCCCTGTTTTTAATGCCAATGCCAATAGCAGCATGTGTTTTTAAATGCAGCTACATCTGCCACCATTAATGAGCGAGTCAGCCGGGCCCTTTATTGAAAAATAAAAACACTATGGTGACTTTAAAGCATTTAAAAGCTACTTGCCAGAGAGGCATTTACTTGTTCAGTATGGCAAGGTTCTGATCCTAAAAGGAGGCTATATTGAATCATGGAAGACAAAGAGAAGAAAATACTGCAGCAGATCTCAGTAGCAATCTAAACAAAACAAACTGTTGGATTCATAAATGGCTACATGTGAATTTCAACCCAAGGAGATCTGCAAGAAAAATGTTCATCAATGGGTGCTGCCTCCCTCAAACAGCAGCTCATACTGGCTGCAGAATGACGACAACACCAGCACACCTACACACAGAACTTTTTCATGCAGATCCATTTTATAAGTCAAATGGMATTATTAGTCCTATGCTTCCTATACCTAAGACTTGCTATAGTTCCAATTTTTAAATGACAAATAAACTGTGTTTTGATTTAAAGCAGCAGAAGACCCTAGAAGAACAGCATATTTTGAAAATGCAAATGTTGAATCACTACCAATGGCTATGCAATTTACAGATCTGAAGCATCTACTGATTTTATTAAGAAAACATTATACAATTATAGCAGATAATAAGAAGACACTTCTTGAATGCCAGTGACAAGAAAAATTGATAACAAGAAATAACTTTCTTTGGAAAGAAAGAATGGCAGAACAAAAGAAGAATGAAAGAAAAATTGCTATACTTACCACACCCCACCACAGGGCATCTGCATAGCTGCCAAACTCTGTTTCTCCAGAATCATTTACAGCATCTTTTTCAGCCAGGTACACAAAGTAAGAGGAAAAAATCAGGCCCAGAAATCCAATGTACAGAGTCGTTATCAGTTCCTGCAAACAGAATATAWATAAGAACATTATCATGTTGTTTAGAGGCTTAAAACAATCCGCTACTGATGTTTTGGAAGAATAATTAGTATAGATGTAATTTCAGCAATTTAGAAACACGGACAGACTATCACCTGGGCAAACTAAGCATGCACCCGGTTCAAGAGGGAAAGAATTTACACTAGCTGCTGGCTTGGCCCAGTACACACACTGCAAACACAGCATCTAACACAACTGGATGACCATCACTTGCAAAAACAATGGATCAACTTTTTGGTAAAAAAAAAAGGGGGGGGGGGGAGGTTGCGTAAATTTTTCAAACAATGTCACACTGAAGACAGTTCTGGTACTTAAGATACCGAATTTCTTTAAAAATATTCAGGCTCATTTCCAAAGCCTTATTTTCTGTGGTTAGATCCACAGAATTAATTTATAGGTCAAAAGCCTGACAAAGCACGGGTGAATATTTTTATCTTTTAGGAACTCTTTGTCATCTGAACAGGTAGGTCAAACAGATTTGGATAAAATAATATGATTGTCTGTTTCCACATTAAATATATTTGACGTTAGCATGCCTGCATACACTGCCTACACACCAAATTCAAGGCCTTTTGCATCAACTATTATTAAGTTTTCAGAGCACTCCAACTCACTTGTCTGTGTATGAAGACCACTGAGCCCAAGAGCCTCCACGTTCCACCCTGACGGTCAACATGGAGCATTCGCAGAATCTGCAGGAAACGGATGCCCCTGCAACACAGTTTTTAAATGAATGAGTCAACGAAGAGGCTAATAATAAAAGGGGAAAAAAAAAAAAAAAGGAGTGGGGAAAGGTGAGAATGAGTAACATGAGCTGAAAAATCCTTTAGGAAACTCTTTTAAGGAGAGTATCACTGCAAGGCTAGTGTGCAGAGTACAGCAAACTGCCCTGTCCTTTCTCATTCAGGAAAACCTGATAGCCTGATCTTTCGGAGTTCAGGATAGGTTCAATCAATCAAGACTTCTCAATAAGTAATCCCAGGCATTTTATAAAA